TTAAATCTTAATCTTTTTATCAATTTTTAATTTAAATCATTCGTCTATTTTTGTTAAGTAAAATAAATTAAAAAAAAGAGAATATTTTAGTCATTAAACTCAATATATTTGTATATAAACTATCTACAATATCTTTTTCGTTGAGTTTAATGACTAAAATATCATATTTTTGTAGGTTTTATTTAACAAAAATATGTAGATGTTTTGATTAAAAACAAATCAAAAAATTAGAATTTAAATTGAAAAAATTAAAAATTGAATATCTATTTTGTTATAAGCGTTACCCTAAGAGTTTTTTGTAATTTCTCCGAAGTTTTTTGTCAAGCTCTTCCTTAAAAATTAAAGATAAATTACAGCTAATCTTATATGATTAACTTAATTATATATAAATCTTGTACACTAATGCACCACTAAGTCTTGAAATTCTTATTTTGTCTCCATTATTATTTATGATATGCATATATAATAATGCAAAATCTTTTCTGTATGTATAATTATATACAACAATATTTGTAATAATACATAGAATAATGTGATTTTAGCTTTTCTAAAGCTCAAGCTTGATTAATATTTAATGATCCAAGCTCAAACTCATTTGATTGTCTATTCAAACCAAACTCAAGCCTGAATTCAAGTTTAGTTAATAAATAATCGAACTTAAACAGTGAACTACTGAACTCAACTCAATTACTTTTAGGCTCTAATAAAGCTGGCATAGCATTTGCATAAGTCTTAATGCCATTAATCACCTAATTGTATTAGCTTAAACAATTCAAGTCCATTACATCTCCTAATTGTGACCGTTCAATTCCACTCCCAATGATGTGGTTAAGACCCGTATGAAGCGATTTCACACTCCTCCTTCTACGCATCTTCTAATTTCATATAATTGAGAGTGAAATTGAGACGACAAAATTAGGAGATGAATCATTTTTCTAAACCATATGAGCATTTAATTACCGTATTGATTCATAACCATTAGGCTTATCCGAGCACATATACTAAACTCTTATTCCTATTTCTATTAGTACACAAATCATACATGTTAAAGTAACTTTTCAGCTAGATAGCACAACCTTTCTGTCTTTCTTTCTTCTTTTTCATTTATTTTATTTTTTAATTGCAATATGAAATTTAACTTCAAAAGTAGGAGAGAAAACTCACACATAGGTACTGTGGAGCGTAGAAATTTATTCTACATTACTTTACAAAGTTTATCATGCCTACAAATTTTTGAGAAGCCTTTTCTAGTTAAGGAAGAATAAAATTGTGCATCTCAAAATAAAGCAGACAATATTTTGGTGTGTACTTCGACAGCGAGGTAGTCTGCACAAATGACGTCATCTGTGGAATACTTAGCTCCACCACGTGAATCAGCATGCCCGGCAAGCTAACGTGCAAGGTAAAAATCAGTTCCACATCGGTTTTTCCTACTTTATAAAGTTTGTCATACTTACAAACCTACAAGAGATCTCTTTTCCAATCAAGGAAGAACAAAACACAAAGTCATGCGTACCCCGTGGTACAAAGTGTATAATATCTTAGTGTGTACTCTGGCATTGGATCCTCATGGACCAAATATCAAGTTTTTTTTTTTTTTTTGTTTTTTTGTGAGAAACTAAATTTTAACTTTCTCTAAAATGGGAAGAGTGGGAAATAAAACTTGGACTGTGGGCATGTACTGTCAATCAATTGTAGTGCTATATCAACATTTGGCATTTCACATTAGAGGCAGATTATATTCATAATATTAAATTTATATGATGGCACAAGATATTCCTATCTTAAAAGGTGCTTTTGTGCTTAGAGTCCGAAAAAGCAAACTCATGTTACGTTAAATCATAAGAGACAAGTATTTTTAGGCGAGATAGAGACGTAGGTCTAACATCAACCTTGTCAATGCGTAGATATTATGCCAGGAGGCAGTAGAAAATTCCTAATAAACAGACCACAACAGCCACTGCAAGATGATAATTGGTGATTTGTACAAAGAATTGAAACGCATTAAAATCTTTTAAAAAGAGAGTTGATCTGCTTTTGTTCTTTTTTACTTCTTGTCTCCCCTTTTGATAGGAACATTGAAGGTGAAAGTTGCCTAATGAAGCGGGGGATTAGTAGATAGAAAGTTCACTTATTGGTTGTGACACATTAAGCACTTCAATAATTGTTCATAGTTTTTGTATTCATCGTGCCTTCCAAAGTACAGATTCAAATAAAAAAACATGGTTATATACCACGTTTGTGTGGTATAATTTATTGTAATTTAAAATTTAATTTTTAAATATTAGAAGGTAAAAGTATTCATTTTTTAAAATTTTTTTGATAAGGAGGAGAATTTTTTTCAATTCAAAATCTGGACTGGATGGGTCTGTTTGGGCTTGTGGGGTTCACCATGGGCCCCGTTGATCCAAACCGTTCATTTTGTTAGACACTTCGTTTGTTTCATTCACAAAAAAATTTAGGTCGATCTGATAACTGTAACGTATTTAATTTATCATGTTTTTCACTAAAAAAATGGACAAAATTGTGTTTTTAAAAGATGAACCGTACTTTTTTATGACAAAAATAATAAATTGAACAAGCTGCAATCATCGGATCTATCTAATTTTTTTTTAAAGATAAAATACACAAAGTGTCAAACAAAATGAACAATTTAGATCATCGAAACGGGGCCCGTGATAGACTCCACAGGCCCAAACAAATCCTCCTCCTTCTGATAATTAGTTTTTTTTTTCAATGATTAGGTGTACTCAATCTTTTCCCTCCCAAACACACATTAATGTGTACTACTTGGACTTTGTTTTTTTTATTTCTATCTAACGAATTATAAACAAAAGTTACATCAAACGGTCTAGTATAGATTCTTAGAATAAAAAAATAATAATAAAATAAAAATAAATAAAATTAAACAAATATGACAAACTGCACCAAACAAACCTACCGACTCTAATGCTACTTTTGGTTCATTAGATAAAATGATTATTCATTAGTCTCATGAAAGAATCATTTTCTTATAATAATGGTAATAAAATCAATTGTAATACATTTATTATTATTTTAATAAATTAAATGTGAAAATCAACATTCTAATAAAGTGATCATTTCATTCTACAATTTCATTTATAAACTATCCTCTATTTGGAGCACAAACTCAATCATAGATACTAAAATGAAAACTAAAATTTGTTTAGTGTCTATTTTTGTTTTTCAAAAAATTCAAATATGTGTGTTTAGTTTCAGCTTTTTGAAAGTTGAATTTTTTATTTTTTCATTTTTTTTAGTGAATATTTTTTAAATTTTAAACTTTTTTTTTATTACTTTCTTAGATGCACCTTACTTAAATGTATTTAAAAAGTAAAATATTTGTAAAAAAATATTTTAAAAAATTAATAAATACAGAAAAATATGAAAAATATACTGAATTTTCTTTTTTTTTTGTGTTTTTTGTGTTTTTTGTTCTTTAGTGAATTTTTTATAAAAAAATTTCACGAAAATTATACTTTTTAAGTGTATTTATGTTCGGTGTGTCTAAAAATTAAAAAAAAAAATTGATTAAAATGTTAAAAAAAATTCAGTAAAAATAAAAAAATATAGAAAATAAGAAAGTAGAATTTTTTGAAAAGTGTTTTCAAAAAACTGAAAACAAACATGGTAATAGTTTTAAAAAAATTATTAAATTTTATAAGTATAAAAATATATTTTCAATTATTTTTAAAACAAAATTTCATTTATTCATTCTCTCTCACGCAGGGACGAAACCAAGAATTCATTTGCGGGGGGGCCAAGACATAAATAAATTTTTTTATATGAATTGATATAAATTACTATTTTTTTAATTCAAAAAGTAAACTAAAATTTAATATTAAATTAGTACGTAAAAAATAAAATCATATATTTACTAAATTTAATATATGAATAAAAGCAAAGTCATGTATTAAAAAATTATTTATACAAATCAACTCAATTATCTATCAAAGTGGAACTCGACGTTCTTTCATATCTCGAAAGTCTTCAATGATTGACTCAGTAGTAAAATTTTCAACAATTTCCTTTTCAATGTACACACGCAAAGAGTCTGTAAGAAATTCATCTTCCATTTTGTTGCGAAGTTACTTTTGACAATTTTCATGGCTGAAAATGATCGCTCCGTAGTTGCAGTAGAAACTGGAAGAGTAAGAACAAGTGCAATCACTCTATAAACAAGTTGATAGATCGTAGATTTGTTTGTCAAAAGTAGATAAACACTGACACAATTCAGAAATAGTAGACAATTTTTTGTAATCTGCATGCTGAACTACATTATGCTCGTAATGGTGAAGTTGCATTCTCAACTGTATTTTCTCTTGATCTTTGAAGTCTTGCAGATAAAATTTTTCTACTAACCAACAAATATCATCGATTCTAAAAGTTTCAGACACATCTCGGGGATCTAGAGCTGAGCTAAGATTAAGCAACTCTACTGCATGTTCACTGAACCGGCCATTTAATTCTTGTAGTTGAGAATCTATTGTAGCATAAAAAATATCTACTCGATAATAATGCTCAACTGTAAAGTCATCTTGATGATCACGAGCTTGACCTCTTCTTCTAATATAAGAAGCATTCATATTCGGGACATTTATGTTACGTAGCTCGCAAAATGATTGCACATTGACTAGTAAAGCATCCCATTTGTCATCTCTAAACTTTTGTAGAAGTGCCTTGGTAGATGAAACTAGATTCATTGCATTTAAGATGTCTTGATATCGGCATTGCAAAGCTTGACAAAGTAAATCAGTGATCTCCAACATTTCTTTCATGAGATGCAAAATAAAGACGAATTCAAATGAAGTCAATGTTTCATAAGCTGAGTCTGCATCTCCTCGTTGGGCAGAAGTCGTTCCTTCATTAATGATGTTAAGAAGAACTTCACATGTTGGACTGAATATTTTTATTAAGCTTGAAATTGACTTGAAGTGAGAACTCCAACGAGTATCTCCAGCTCGTTGTAAAGTGCCAATCTAGTTAAGTACCTTTCCAGTCTCGAGCTCATCAATGTCAATCATATGTTCAATTTCAGCAGCTTGTGCAACTTTCAATTCATCATTGCACTTGCATGAGGCACCAACAATATTGACAACAAAAGTCAATTTAGGAAAAAATTTATGAATTGGGATAACATCTTTCGATGCTGCCACTAAAGCCAACTGCAAACGATGTGCAAAACAATGAATATAATAAGCATATGGACAATCATTCAAAACTAATGCTTGTAATCCTTTCCACTCACCTCGCATATTGCTTGCACCATCGTATCCTTGTCCTCGAATATTTTGAATATCTAAATTGTGATGAGACAATACAGAATATATTCCATCTTTTAGGGTTGATGTAGCAGTGTTAGAGACATGAATAAGCCCAAAAAAACGCTCTCTCACAAAACCATCTTTGTCAACGAATCTCAAAACTATAACCATTTGCTCCTTTGACTCATCACGAGCTTCATCAACAATTATGCAATACTTCGCATCACTAATTTTTTCACGAATTGCGTTCTTCACTTTGGTTGAAAAAATATGTAAAATTTCTTTTTGAATCTTTGGTGATGTGTAAGAGGCATTTTTCGGAGCTTTATCCAATACTTTAGCAACATTATCATTATATGATCCCAACAATTTCACTATTTGAAGAAAATTTCCACGATTGATTGAATTTAGCCTTTCATCACGACCTCTAAAAGCACAACCTTGAAATGCAAGCAATCGGATTGTATCAATTGAGACCTTCAATCTTAGTCGATTATCTACAATTTGTTCAGAAGTGAAATTGTCCAATACCTTTTGTATATGTTGAAATTGATTCATCAAGTCTTCACATGACCTCTCTGCAATATTGTGAAAAGAATTAGGATCTTTTCTTATATGATTTAAAAAAGCACATTTTGCTCCATCCCTAACTTTTTTCTAATTCTGAAATCCATCAATAGTGAATGCTTGCTGCCCATAATATCCAGATCCACATGGTTTATAAAAAAGAAAGCATGGTAAACAAAAAGCTGCATCTTTTGCAGGTGAATATTCCAACCATGACGGAAATAGTTTGAACCATGACGATTGAAAGCTACGAAGATGAGTTGTTGATCCAGATTTCGAATACTTTGAAAGTATAGGTTGGTATGGACTAGTCTTAATATAAGCTCGTCGAATTTCATCAGGTTGATTAACATGATAATCCCAAATCTGTATACGTAATCCAAGATCTCGCTCCAATGAACTAATATCAATTTCTTTAACATCAATCTTTTGAGATTTTGTGGGTGGATTTTCAAGGATATCAACATTGGAAGTTGGCAATGATGTATTGTCAGCATTGATTTCTGAGGAACTTGCATTTTTTCTTTTAAAAAATCTATCAATTGTACATGGCTTTCCCATAATAACATACAAATCAAAATAGAATTCATTACATACATGGTTAATATTCTATTAGAAATTAAAACCAATTGCTAATGTAATATATATATATATATATATATCACAGGACATAGAAAATCTTTGTGCCTAGAATAACAAATGTAATTAAAACAAATTTCATATAAATTTAAAAATTTAGAATTCAGATTCAACACATAAATTTTATACAAGTCTCAATTCATTTTAATTTTGAATTTATAACACTTAATCTGAATAAAATTAAATTTTCCCAAATATGATTAAAAAAAAACCCTAGTAATTGAAATCAAACGTCCTAATTCATGATTTTTGTTCTTAATATGTAAAATTAAAAAAAATTACAATTGTATCAATATGACATTAAAAAAAAGATAATAAAAGTATTACAAATTGAAAACAAAAATAAAAGAGAATATGAATCACATACCTGTAATAATGAGAAGATTAATAGCAGAAGCAAGACTTTTTTTTTTTTTTTTTTTGATGTATCCCAAGTTGATTTAACTCAAAAAAAAAAAAAAATGCTTGCTTTCAATAAATTGAGACGGCGTCACGGCGTAGAGCAGGTCATAGGAATTAGGTTTTCTTTCTTTCTTCTTTTTGTCTTTTTCTATTTCTATTCAGGCTTTCATTTTTTTTTTTTTTTAAAAGAAGGCACATGGCCCTCCCTGGCCATCTAATGAAGAGATTGAGCCTAACCCAGCCCACAAAACAAAGCAGGACCATTTTACTATTAATAAAAGATATATATATAAATAATTTTTTTTTTAAGCGGGGGGCTGTGGCCCCTAACAGTCCCTCCATAATTCCGTCCCTGCTGCTTATTACATTTTGTTGAAATAAGGCATTTGAATGGATTTTAATAGTTAAATTTTGTATATAGTTGGAAATTGAATGCTACAAGTTGTGGAAAAATATTTTTATTAAATGGTTGAGAATTGAATGAATGAATGAATGGATGAATAATTTTGTATATGGACAGGTTTTAGGTGGCGCAAAAAATATTACAGAACAAATTATAAAAACTAAATTAGACCTTTTGACGACTAAACAAATATCATAGGTTGACTTTTGGCTATTAAAATTTTAGTCGCCCATTGTGAAAAAGTGAAACTTTTGGCTACTAAACTTTTAATCGCCAATTATAAAAAAGAAACTTTTGACTACTAAATGTTTAGTCACCAATTCTCAAAAAGTGAAACTTTTGACTACCAAAAATTTAGCCGCCAAACATACACGCTCAATTGGCTACTAAATAATTTAATCGCTAAAAATAAAAATATATATATATATATATATATTTAATTATTTTTAAAAAATATATAGCGACTAAAGTTTTAGTCACCAATAGGTCACTTTTGGCTACCAAAAAAATTTTAGTTGTCGATTGTTTTCCCAACGATCTATTGGTGACCAAACCGGCGACCAAATATATTAGTCGGCAAAAGTGATTGGCGACTAAAATAAGGTTTTTGGCTACTAAAATTTTAGTCGCCAAAAGTAAAATTTTTTGTAGTGAAAGCAATTTTTAAAATTATTTAAAAGTATTTCTTAAAAATAAGTGTTTAAAAAAAATTTGTCAAACAAGTTTTATAAATCAAAATTTGTTTTTGTTTTTCAAGAATAAAGAAATAAAAAAAAAATATATATACCATAGTTGAAGAGACTGCAAGTGGCGTGGGGAACAACTTGGTGGTTGAGGAGCGTATGGAGTTGGCGGTGGCAGAGAGTAGCCTTGAGGCTAATGATGACAATCTAAGGACTGAGGAGCAGCTATTTACACCTGGCTTTCTTAAGAGTTTAAATGGGGCTGATGTTCATGGGCCTGGTATTAGCCTTGAAGTAAATTTGGGCCATTTATATGGTCCAGTGGAGTACAATAGATCTGATATTGTAGTGAGGGGTCCAAATATACAACCTAATGGATTAACTAATTCTATTTGGGCTCCTAAAAGACCCAGCATGCCTACGGTGCAAACATGTCCACATGGAGATAGAAGCAGCAGAATTAATGATCAGAAGTCAAAAAGGAAAGGTAAAAGAAAGGTAAGTTTTGCTGGAGCATCAAAATCAGCTAATGAGGTCAGTGGGTATGCATACCTTGCTCGATTGTATGGTCATAAAGGTGCATCATTAAGCAAGTCCTCCCCTAAATGTGCTGTTTTTAGGGCTGCTGCTGCAGCTTTGTCACTATCTGCTTCTAATGAGAGCCACTCTGGCAATAGAAGTCATATCCTTAGTGAGGCACAAGCAAACATTCTGTTGGGGAAAATTCTGGGCATTAACTATAAAGGCAAAGAGGCTGAACTTCTGGAAAAAATGGTGGACCTAGAAGTTGTTGACAGAGAAAGGAGGAAGGCAAAGAGGAAAGAATAGGAGCATTGAGTCTCTCCACGGGGTCTGTTTGGTATTAAAATTGTTTTCTAATGAAGTTGATGTCTTGGAATGTTAGAGGATTGGGGAAGCTAGAAAAGAGGGGAAGGATTAGGAAGCTCATCTATGAAAGAAAGGTGGATATGGTGCTTCTTCAGGAGACAAAACAAGCTTCTATTACTGAGAATGTTGTTAGAGCTTTGTGGGGTAAGAGAAACATGGAGTTTATGGCTGTGGGTTCTGAAGGGACTGCTGGGGGTCTTCTTTGTATCTGGGACCCAGATTTTTTTCAGCTGGTAGATTGTTGCAGTAATAGAAGATTTGTTCTCTTATCAGGTATTTTGTTAAATACTTTTGAGTGTACGATTGTGAATGTATATGCCCCCAATGAGGTGGGTAGCAGATGCAAATTTTGGGATTCCTTACTCAAGTTAAAATCTGAGTTCCCAAAACCATGGTGTTTGGGGGGAGATTTGAATGAGATTAGGAATATTGGCGAAAGGGTGGGCTGTTCCAGAAGAGATAAAGGAATGAGGGATCTAAATTCTTTCATAGAGAGTTGTGAGTTGCATGATCTACCTTTGTTAGGCAGGAAGTTCACATGGTGCAATGCTCAAGATGGGGAGAAATGGAGTAGGATCGATAGAATTCTGCTTAATCCGGAGTGGCTGCTGAGGTATAATTTCAAAGTTTGGGGTCTTCCTAGGCTTTTTTCTGATCATTGCCCTATTTTGTTAATGGATGACGTGAGGGATTGGGGGCCTAAGCCTTTTAGGTTCATTAATGCTTGGACTAGTCATCCTAGTTTTCCCTCTTTAGTGGCTAAGGTTTGGCATGAATCTAGCATTATTGGGAGGGCTGGGTATGTTTTGTTTCAGAAACTGAAAATTCTAAAGGTGGAGCTGAAAAAATGGAATTTTGAAGTTTTTGGGAATCTTGTTACAAAACTCAAGAAGGCAGAGGAGGAGTTGGTTGAGCTGGACATTGTGGCTGAAGATAGACCTCTGGTAGAGG